GAGGTGAACAGAAATGAAAGCAAGCTGAGGGCTTAAGCAAAGATCAGCTGGAATTTACACTCTGCTGCTCCCTGCCAATGGACAAGTGCTCTCATCTCCCTTACAAAGTGTGAGCAGCCGGTAATGAGCTCTGCCTGCTCATGAACAACTTCAATTTAATTCCAGCCTTGCAGGCTCCCAGGATGAGTACCCACAAAGGAAATTATTTTGTGACTTACAGTAGCACTGACCAGAAATTGCCCCCCTCCCACTGGACAAAACAATAGCAAGTTAAGAGGTGGATCTGGCACGCAGACCAGAATACCACCACCTGCCCTTTACACTGGCGTACAGCTGCTAGAAAGTTTTCCAAGCAAAAGTAAAACAGGAATAATGTCTTCTGCCTTATTTACTATTTTAAATAGCCAGACATGGGTCCTCTGCTCAAATATGCTAAATACCCCCACTCCCACCAACCGATAAATAAATAAATAGTTCTTTTTTTTATACTATTGTTAAACAAAAGTTTCCTATCCTTTCAAATTTTTTAGGAGACAGCATATGATGCAGTTTTGCAATTCTGACAGTAGTTCTACTTTCGTTTTGTCTTATGTACATTTTCACGGCCAAAGTTTAAGTCTCAGACACAAAATTCATTATTCATAAGAGATAAATAGAGCATTTACACGCCTAACACCTGCATACTCCATTCATGTGATGTATTCATACTCCTTTATTTAGGGCAAGGTCAAAATGTTACATCAATGTCATCTGAATACACTCAAAATTATTAATGAAACTTTTGGTTGATAATTCCCATAGATACTCAAAGTAGAGGGAGAGTTTCTTAGTCATGGAATATTAGAGTCCAGGCTGTGGGAAACCTAATCTGTGCCTCTCATTTTAGTATCTCCTGACTGATTAAATAATATTTGGAAAGGGAAACCCTTGCAGTAACTCTAGACTGGGACGCACTAGTCTGTTGGTGGTAAATCAGGTCTGGGTGTCTGGAGGGGGATGTTCTGGAGACGTTTCTAGAGTACTTGCCAGTACCATCAGATGTGAGTCCCCTCATTTGCTCTCTTTGTAAAGAACCTAAAAGATAGTTAGGTCTCCATTTTCCAGCTCATTTTCTATCCTCCACCCTAGAACTGTAATATAATGAAGCAACTAAACTTTCACTAATCAGCATCAACTCAGATTGTTTTATGGACTTAATGCATTACATCTTTCAGTGCTGCCCTTTTCCTCCTCTGAGGAGGCTTCAATGCTTGTAAGAAGAATTAGGAATTCAGGGCCTCAATACAGAGTCCTGCATGCGAATGGCCATGTGAGAGGTGAGATTAAAATTGGAGTGCAGAGGGCATGTGGTGAAGTGCACACAGAGCCTGTTTGATCTGAGGTTTCCTCTTATCACTGAATCTGATCCAACAACTCAACGCAATTCTTCCTCCAGTTTAAGGAAACTGGATGTGACTGACTCAAGGATTGAGCATAATCACTAGATGCATGTGACAGAAGCATCTTGGCATGGCAATAGAGATTTTTTGGAAAAAAATAAAAGTGGAGGCTTTCATTAATTTCTGATAAGCAAAATCATAAAGGGGGAGAAATGCATCTCAGCATAGTATCAGGTACAAAATGATCACAGGAGAAATTCTAATCCTGGAATGACTGTGGGGTGCAGAGGAGAGAATCAGTTATCTAGACTCAGAAGACCCAGGATCGAATCCAGAAGTTCCACCTATTAGCTCTGTAATCTTGGACAAATCCAAGGTCATTTTGTCATTTGCAAAATGTATTAAACAACTATCAAAGTGCTTTCAAGCTTGTTGGGTTCAAATTAGATGATGGAGTAGAGGTGCTTTACCAAATGGAGGAGTTAAAGAAATGTTACTTGTTACTGTGATTTTAACAACACTGATTTTTCAGTTTTTATTGAAATTTTACTCACTCATAATAGTCCATTTTATTTTCGGTACTTTTTGCACTTCATGGATGTGGCCACCAAAGAGCAAGAAAGCTTTGATTTACTTGGCCTGAATTACAAGATGATTTATCTGACCTCCATATTGCAACTGGGCATTTCTCATTCTTTTTTCTTCAGTATTGCAAATCTGTGACTCCATTTCCACTTCAGATGAAGGAAATGTCCACAAATTTTAACCCCTTATCTTTCCAAGTTCATCTTTTATTTCTCACATGAGGCCAGGCTGGAAGGTAATGGTGCAAGGTCTCTGTGCTCTGGGAATAACAAACTTCCTTTGCAAAGGGGTCATTTCCCCATTTTAGCACAAAGAGCACAAAATTGCTTCATTTATTACAAAAGGAAAAGCAATGAGTAAAGCTGTTGTAGTTGGGATTATCTGATCTCTGCTAATTAAATGGAGAGGAGGGTGAGTGGGCTGAGAGAGGGGTTGGAAAGGGTGAATTACGCCTGGACTCAGAGGAGCCTTCAGAACTCATCCTGAGACAGGAAGTGATGAAATCTGCTCTCAGATGAGCTGAGAGTGTCATGTGCACCCACCCCACCTCCTGCCTCAGCTGGCGTAAGGGGAAACTGGTGATGAGACAGTAGAGCATGGGGAAGTAGGTCATGGGGAGTGGGAAGCAGAGGCTGGAGAGAGATGGGGGAAAAGCCCCACTGCTGCCCCTCACCCTGTTCCCATATTCCTCTGGGGCTGGGATGAAACACACTGGCTACTTCTACTCTCCATCTCCCATTGTGAAAAACTGCTGAAATTAACTATATCCTCTGTGAACACTCAACTTCCCAAATCAATTCTACTCACAGTGCTAACGGAAGAAGGAAGGTATGAAACATTTTATCACCCGGAGTTCAACTACCAGATGGACGTATATAATTCCTCCACTTTACCCTGGACTCCCCTAAGTAGTCCAGTGGAGGAAAGGTACAGAAAAGGCTAGAGTATTCAGTATCTGGCACCAGGTATCCTCTGTCACCTTGGGCCAGCTTTCATAATGTTTACTGTTCTCATGTTCTTCACTAAGGAAAAGTGACAAAGTTAATTAGTGGCACATGATAGACAGGAAAAGGAGATAAAATTCAGAGATGACTCTTTTTGTATAGGGAGAGAATTTAAGAAAGGTACATGAAGAAAGGGCGTGGGGGAGAACCAGTCATAAAGAGAATTGATGGCATCACAGATGCAAAATCAAACACAAAATATTTTTGTCACACATGTGACAAAATAAAGTCCTTCTCCAGGTAGAGTTCACATCCTGATAGGCAAGACTTCTACCCAGAGATCTGTAGACACAGATTGGGCCCATGGACAGACCGGAACTGTGACCACGCAGGCCGCCAGGCCACCAGTCCCTCTGTCCAGGCCCTGGTCAGCTCCTTTCCCTTCCTGAGAAGCAGGTGTGGCAAAGTTGTACTGCTCTCCTCAAGTCTCCTGTCCGATAGGGGATGCCCAGTCACAGCTCTGAATAGAGGGCCTCGTTTACCTGTGGCAAGTGTGACATAGTTTATCAGACTTCTGCTTTCTCCATGTCCTGACTACCTAAGTGGGATGCAGAGCTGCATGCATCCAAGTCTCCTTTCCTCTGACTGGTTTTCACCCTGGGGGATGGCACCCTTTTTGTCCCATTGAGCCTTTCAGGGCAGCTGAGACAGTTTAAGTAGAGGGTCAAAAAGTTAGGGCTGTTGGACTCCTCCCCTTCCCCAAGTTCCATCACAGCAGTTCTGCTTCTTTCCATAGTAGCATAGGGGTTCCAGAACACATTTGAATTTCCCTCTCAGAAAAGGAACTTGCCAAGTTCTGGGAAATGAGATGAGGGCTGAGCAGGGTGACACCACTTCACACCTTTACTGGAATGCTGGGCACTGTCACCCCGCTGCTTTCTCAGCCTCCACCCGCAGGCCCTGAAGTGCTGTGTCCATGCCAGTTTGTGTGACCTGACCCTCAACAGCATCTCCGTAAAGTAGGAATTACCATTCTTTTTTGATCAGTGAATAAACTAACCCAAAGAGGCAAAGGACTCCCTGAGCGTGGCGTGTCATTGAGCCGGCACACTCTGGTCTCCAGATGGTGAGCCCCGTCAGCTCTGGCCACACGCCTATGGCAGAGGATGTGTGCTGATCCTGTCTTACTTCAAGTACTGTACCTGTGTGCAAATTCAATCCTTTGAGCTCATCTTCCCAAGAAGTCCTCTCGATTTCCCAACTAAAAGAGGGTCTGAGGGAAGAAGTGGGAGTAATGAAAGGAAAATCATGAAGACCACCCTTTCATAGAACTTCTAGAAATCTTCTGTGCTACTTCCAGCTTTATCGTACGTGGCTTCCAAACATGAGCCACCATGGCAGTACTGAGAAATAAAACATGCAAATTGCTGAACATGATTAAGGGACACAATGAAACTATTAAAAGTCAGTAGCTGGCATCATTCAAATGTGCATTTCCTTGATACACCAGCCATATTATTGGGTTTCAGGGTAACTTCCCTCTGCGCTTAAATATACTTCAGGAAACATGAGATTCCAAAGAAAAAATAGTCACAACCTTCAGGCTAGTACTACAAATCCTATAAGAAGGAATTCAAGGGGGTGGGGTAGAAAAAGAATATAGTTCCTGTGTTTTCAAGAATACAAAGACTTAAACGTATCAGCACATTAAATTAGTAATTTAAACACCACGTACATATCACATATAAGGTGCTATGCTTACACTGCATGGGACGGCTTCTCCAAAACGCAGCGCAAAGTGGTCAGTTCAGCTGCCTTGTTTCTAACACTCGTGTGGACATCACAATAGAAGAGGTTGACGTTGACTTGTCTTAGAGAAGATGACATGCACGTCAAAACTCAACACACCTGCGCACATTCGTGTGCATCACCCAATACTGTCTCCAAGCAAGTGCACTTTGGAAAGCCTTTTTCTCAAAGCCACTACAGAGAAACAGTCAACAGGAACGCGTTTTTCCCGAAACAGTTTTGCCGTGAAGCTGAGGCAGGGAGTCTTTGCAGCTGTACACACACTGGCTTTGTGGTACTTTACCTGAGCAGAAAAGTCAATTAGCTTTGGAAGTAGCACTTTGCTCCCTTCATCACTCTTCAGGAAATCCAGCAAACTGCCTGTTGGTAAGGAAGAACAAGTTAGTGCAGTCTAAACACACTACAAAGCAAATCAAGCAAAATCCAATGATCGTTACTATTAGTGGTGGGGGGTGGGATCCCCACAGAATGACTGGTTTTTTAATTCTGTATGGTTACAATTGAAACCATAATGTTGCTTATGTGAAACCTTCATAAGATTGTCTATCAGTGATATCTTATTTAAACAAAAAAAAAGTCCCTGGCGTGGGGGGAAAAATATTATTGGTTAATTAATTCAACAAATATTTACTGAATTCATACAGAGTGTCTGATCCTGGACCTGGATTCTGGGCTATAACAACCTAAGCCATGGGGGCAAGGTCTTTTTTTTTTATTTCTGTGTCCTTTTTTGGAAGGACTCTGAGTGACTAATATTCAAAATATCTACATATAGTAATAAGAAAATGCAATATTCATCTTTCTAATGTCTTCAGCTATGACATCACACTATAGTCTCCATGAAGAGATTACTGGATTACTGCTTACAATCCTTTCTTTCCTGTCTGCATTCCTTCTGATGATTTTTTTTTTTTTGAGAGGGCATCTCTCATATTTATTGATCAAATGGTTGTTAACAACAATAAAGTTCAGTATAGGGGGGTCAATGCTCAATGTACAATCATTAATCCATCTCAAGCCTAACTCTCGTCAGTCTCCAATCTTCTGAAGCATAACGAACAAGTTCTTACATGGTGAACGAATTCTTACATAGTGAATAAGTTCTTACATGGTGAACAGTACAAGGGCATCATCACAGAAACTTTCAGTTTTGATCACGCATTATGAACTATAAACAATCAGGTCAAATACGAATATTCATTTGATTTTTATACTTGATTTATATGTTGATCCCACATTTCTCCCTTTATTATTATTATTTTTATTTTTAATAAAATGCTAAAGTGGTAGGTAGATGCAAGATAAAGGTAGAAAACATAGTTTAGTGTTGTAGGAGAGCAATTGTAGATGATCAGGTGTGTGACTGTAGACTATGTGTTAATCCAAGCTAGACAAGGGCAATAAACCACCTTCTGATGATTTTTAAAAAATTATTTGGCAACTTAATAATTTCTCTCCTGAACTGGAGAAAAGTGTGATTCAAACCTCTTTATCTGAAGGTGGTAACAATGGGAGAAAAGATGGTTGCTTGAATCTTCTTCTTCTGTGATTCTTTGATCACACAGGGATTTCATCTAAATGAGTTTTTAAAGTGTTAACATTTTAAAGTGACAGGCTGAATATTTAGAGAATTCTACAGAGAAAAATGAACTAGTTTTAGGATTTTGAGAACTCACATTTTAAATATGTAAGAAAAATACTCTTATTTGAAATATATATTCATTTGTTTTACAAATACTTATACTTATTGGGGCTCTATAGATACTGGGTACTATTCTTGAAGCTAATATGTATAGGCACAAAAGTGGAGAAAAAAAAGACTACATATAAATTTTATAACACTGATTTCTTCCAGTGAGGTGGTTTATGAAAATGCTCTGTTTTCCCATACTTCCTGATTCTTTGGTAGTGAGCACAAACTTATTTGAATATTCGTGAACATTCAGACATTTTACTTTTTGAGGCTTCAGGCTTTTAAAGCCCTGGCCATGTACTCGGTGATGATATAGATGGGCTCCTCTTTGGTGACCACGGCATACAGCCTCACCAGCTTGTCGTGCTGAAGGGTCTTCATGAGGTTCGCCTCTTCCAGGAATGCCTGCACTGACATAGTGCCTGGTTTCAGGGTTTTTACAGCCACTTTGGTACTGTTGTTGTAGTAACCTAGGAAGAAAGCGCAGAGAGGGCACGCTTTACCCCAGTGAAAGTCCAAAACTACATGCAGAGTTAGAAGAAAATTTAGTTTACAGACAGAACAAAACTTATATAAAACTCTACATAATGCCAATATTAGGGGACGAAGAGTATACGAATTCTCTGTACCATCTATATAAAAACATCTAAAATTATTCCCAATCAAAAGGATTTTATAAAATAGTAGTTTAAAAAAAAACTCTACATGTACTTCATCAGACTAAGATTATTCTCTAATTAAAGAAATGTTTTTTATCCAAGACGCACCCCCGGCCCCACTTAAAGCTTTATACACATACACACACAATGGTCTGGAAGAAAATATACCAAAACGCACCAAATACTCGCTATCTCCAATGGTGCAATTAATTTTGTTCATCATTCCTCTAACTACTTAGCAATTTTTCTACAATGAATATGTGCTATTTTTATAATCAGAAAAAAAGATTTGCACATTAAAAAAAGTGCTTATATGTACTAACACTAAAGTACAATATACAAGTGTCAAATAAGCATTCCCCAAAGTCTTCAAAGACTTGGGTGATTCCCCATGAACAGAGGGTTTTGCATTGAATGTCTGGGAACCACTGCCTGTCACCACCTCCTCCACCCAGCAGATGCAACAGAAATATGAGAGCCCTTCAGGGAAGAAACCCATCTGCTGGTTAACCTCAGCACTTCCTACACTTTCCTGACCACAGAACATTATGAAAAACCATACCTTTTCACACCCCATGGAATGCACTTTGGAAATGCTGACTCCTAACATAGCTCTCCCAAGGCATGACTTTTCTGGGACCTGTCTCAGTGATATGCTTAATTCTGAGCCAGATTTTGTCTTAGGAAAGCATTTTCTCAGAGGTTTGACAAAGCAGAACTATAGATATTCACATTCCCCCTTTCTTCCCTCTGTCCCCATACTTCTCTTGGAAGTACAAAGAAAAAGGTGAGGAGATAGTGACATCTGGTTAGGACCATGAGCCTCCCAGCAGATGACATCTACCTGTACTTGCTCTGAGGAAAATACAACTCTAAGAAATAGTGATAGAGTGTCCAGTCCCCTTGTTTAGGTCACATAATTATCTGTATATGTACAGCATAGAGAGCTGACAGCACACTCAGTAAAACACCAACAGTGATGATCTCTGGGTGGTAGAATTTGGGGTGATGGTTAGTTTCTTTTATTGATTAAATTTTTGAATGACTATTATCTCTTTTTTAGCCAAAGGAATTACTTTTAAAAAGAAATGTTTCTATTTTCACACCTTCAAGTGGGCAAGAGAAAGTATTAGTTTACAGTTAACAGTCAACCCTAGCTAAGAATTTTTCTTCTGATCATTAACACTGATTTCTATTAAAACTATTCCACTTTCACTTGCATTTGTAGCTTGCAGTCCCCTGAAGAAAAATGAAGAATGCAGTATATAAAATAAAATGTGTTAGAACATATGGATAAGACAGTAATAAAAAGCTAAGAAAGTACCATTATAGATCATTTTCAAAAGCTACAATCTATACAAAATAATTGAATCATGAATATATTAAGTTGATTTTCCACCTAAATGCATAATTTCAAGCAATATAACCTTTCACATGACTCTTAAGAGTAAAGTTAGAGTAAATTCCACCACCAAAAGGCCTTTAATATTACCCTTGAATCAAGGAGATTCCATTATATTGTACAGAGCCACAAAAGACCCTGAATAGCCAAAACAATCTTGAGAAAGAAGAAAAAAGCTGGAGGTTTCAAACAGTACTACAAGGCTATAGTAATCAAAACAGTATGGTACTGGCATAAAAATAGACACACAGACCAACAGAACAGAATAGAGAGCCCAGAAATAAACCCACACATGTACGGTCAATTGATATACAATGAAGAAGGCAAGAATATACAAGGGGAAAGGCCAATCTATTTAATAAATGATGTTGGGAAAATTGAACAGCTATAAGCCAGAGAATGAAACAATCACTGTCCCACATCATGTACAAAAACAAATTCAGATTGATTAAAGACATAAATATATGACCTGAAACCATGAAACTCCTAGAAAAAAACACAGCCAGTACACTCCTGAAGAGTAACATTAGTAATTTTTTTCTGGATGTTTCCCCAGGCAAGGGAAACAAAAGCAAAAATAAACAAACGGAACTACATAAGGCTAAAAAGCTTCTGCACAGGAAAGGACACCACCAACAAACTGAAAAGGCAACCTACTGAACAGGAGAATATATTTGCAAATGATAGGTGTTAAAGGACTAATATCCAAAAATATATAAAGAACTCAACACCAAAAAAACAAATAACCCAAATAAAAATGGGCAGAAGACCTAAATTGTCTTTTTTTCCAAACAAGATATCCAGATGGCCAACAGTCACATGAAAACATGTTCAACATAACTAATCATCAGGGAAATGCAAATCAAAATGACAATGAGATATCACCTCACACCAATCAGTATGGCTAGTATAAAAAAATTCAAGAAAAACCTAGTGTTGGCAAGGCTGTGGAGAAAAGGAATCCCTCATGTAAAGGGAATGCAAACTGGTGCAGTCACTATGGAAAGAAGTATGGAGGTTCTCAGAAAACTAAAAATAGAAATACTGTATGACCCAGCAATTTCACTTCTTGAATTTACCCAAAGAAAACAAAATCACTAATATAAAAAGATACATGCACCTTATGATTACTGCAGTATTATTTACAATAGCCAAGGTATGGAAGCAACCCAAGTGTTCATCAATAGGTGAATGGATAAATAAGAAGTGGTACATACATACAATGGAATATTACTCAGCCATAAAAAAGAATAATACCTTGCCATTTGCAACAACATGGATGGCCTTAAAGAGTATTATGCTAAGTCAGACAGAAAAAGACAAATAGCATGTTTCAATTGTATGTGGAATCTAAAAAAACAAAAATAATCAAAAACAAAACAGACTCATATGCAAGTGCAGAGAACAAACTAGTACATGACATAAAGGATGAACATAATAAGTGAAGATGATAAAGAGGCACAAACTTCCAATTATAAATAAATAAGCCATGGAGATGAAAAGTACAGCAAAGGGAGTATAATCAATAATATTGTAATAATTTTTTATGGAGAGAGATGGTAACTACACTTATCATGGTGAGCATTTAGTAATGTATATAATTGCAGAATAACTATGTTGTACACCTTAAACCAACACAATATTGTATTATCAACTATACTTCAATTAAAAAAGTTTCCATTAAAAATTTTATGACAAGTTTATAAATAGATCCTCAACTACATGAATATTATTAGCAGCAAAGCAGAGCAAGAAAACATACTCTTTGATACATGTAACTGACAAAGAAACAGTGTCCAGAATAAATGAAGAATTCCTACAAATCAATAAAAGAAAAAGAAAAATAGATGGGAATTTCAAAAAATAAATACAAATGACAAACAGGTGAAAGGAACTCAACCTCACTAGTAATCAGAGACATGCAAATAAGGCCATAGGGAGAAACTACCACCCAGCTTGACAACAATTACAAAGTCTGACAGTACAACTGCAGGTGAACACGTGCCCTCTTGGTAGGGAAACTAGGGTGGTGTTCTTTTCTGACATTATCCTGGGGAACCACGAAGGATGTTGACAGAGCAGCCTCCTTGCATGTGTAATAAGCTTGACTGACAACACACACACACACACACAACACGGGCTGTGCTGACCCGGGACCCACATCCTTCCAGGTACAACTCTGGCGGTCAGGAAGTGGGATGCTGAGAACTTCTGTACTTCGCTGCTAAGAGTCTGAACTGGGACAAGCACTTTGGAAACTTGTTGGCACTATTAAGTAGAGTTGAGATTCCTATTTTTATGATCCAGCAAATCCACTCCTGGTCACCCTAGGGAAACATGTGCCCTTAAACCAGCACAAAAATGTTCACAGTGGCACTGCCCATAGTAGTCAAAACCTGGGAATAACTCCAATACCATCAATAAACAGTGAAATCAATGGATAAACTCTTCACATCTTGAATACAAATAAAGCACACACTGCTATGGAGCAATGAAGGTGGATGAACAGCAACTACACCCCAAAGCATGGATGAATCTCACAAATGCAACATTGAACCAAAAAGGGAGGACATAGTAAAGGAGTTCATTTGGTACGATTCATTTATGTAATGTTCAGAAATAGGCAAAACTAAACTAGAGTGTCTGGGGGTGCATATCCCCATCTACACAAGTAGTAGAAGTATAAAAAAAGCCAGGAAATTATTACAAGAGTCAGAGTAGCAGTTGCCTTTGTGGTTAGGAAGGGGTAAGTGGAGGCTTCTGGGCACTGGCAAGCTTCCACTGTGTGATCTCAGGGGTCACCACACAGGTTTTCATTCTGTAAGTATTTATGATATTGAATATTTGAGTCTTACACCCTTTTCTGTCTGCTTTTTGTAACAGAGCAATAAAAGGGAAAGAAAATGATTCCCCTTTTGTCATCAGAAAAGCAATGGAACTTATTGAAACTTTTACATAATATAAAATTATGGTAAAGGATGAAGAAGAAAACAATGCTTTCCAAGGGTAGGGGAAAAAGTAATCAGGAAATCTACTACAGCTGCTAAAGATATCAAAAATGCTGATAAGGAGTTCAAATGAACAGTGAATAAAACAGCTGTGTAGGACACAGCTGAAGAATGGCACCAGCTTTTTTAGGGCTGTGGCACTTAAACAACAGGGCAGGTTTTCATCTTGCACTAAGGCATGATTTTTATTCAGCACTAAGTATCAAATTGTACTTTATGAAGATATATTCTGTAGTGTGCAGGTTCAGTTAACCTAGCCATGGGGGTTTATGTTGGCATTACAGATGGAAATTATCTTCTAAAAAAATCTTTGGAAGTTAGTAAAGGATTTCTTGCCATCATTCAGGGAGCCGGTGCAACAATTTGAGAAAGTTCCAAGTCCAGGTGTGACTAATGTTGGA